GCTGGATTTGTGACTCAGTGGAAGTGTTCTCATAGCATGCATGAGGCACTGGGTTTGATACTCAGCACCACATAGAAATGAAATAAAAAAATTCATCCATCTCAAACTAAAAACAAAATATTTTAAAAAAAATCTCTAAAGGCCATGTTACTGCACTGTAACCATGATTGGATGGACCATGGTTTTCTTAAATAAAGATTCTGGATCATGATGTGCAGATCCCCACAGTTGCCAGATAAGACCACTAGATGGCGAGCCAGTTTTTTGTTGTTGTTATTTTTCTGTTTTTTTTTTTTTTTTTTTTTTGCCAGTGGAGGGCACTCTGCAGGTGGCTGGGGGCTTCTCTTGGTTTCTCCCATCAGAGTCCCTGAAGTGTCGCTGTGCTGAGGCAGGTTTTACTGCAGATTCCAGGAAGTGATATGAAGCCAGGGTCTTTGACTACAGTACTACTATAGTACTGTAGCAGGAAATTTATTTAGAATGTTATAGGTCCTTCTCCCCATACAGGACAGGCTGACTATTTCCCCACAGCCTGAAGTCCTGGTGGTGGCAGAGATATGGTCACAGGCCCTTATAATACCAATCTGGAGGAGAAAAGTGGAGACAATATTTTCTTCTCCTGAAAAGTATACTCTGGTTTTATGAACACCCAGAACATATGGCCTGCCTTTTTGATGCTTTAAGGTGTTTATAAGAAAAGTAACTCAGAAGGTGGGAAGATATCTTGAATTTGAATCCTGGGTCCAAGCCTAGCTCTACTCCAGACTATTGTGGACTTTATCTGCTAATGTACCTCTTCTGCAACCCATGTTTACAACAGTGGTGGAAGAGATTGTATGCAACAGGAACAGTGCCTACACAATTCCCACATTCCAGGTGAAGAGCCCCTCCTTTCCCTCCACCTCTGGAAGCCTTTTGTGTTTCCCAGCACTAAGATGGGGAATGCCTAACAGAAAGCAGGGGGTTTGGTGCCTCCCCACGACCAAGACCAAGTGGTACAGGTTACAGATGTAGTTGCTCTGGCCCTTTTGAGGAGATTTATAGATTTGCCATTGTTGTAAGAGTGCCTTGGGTTTGTTTTAATCATATATAGGAGATGCACATAAACACACACATTGTCACAGAGAGCTACAGTTTTCTATAAGCAGTAGTGAAGAGCCCTTTGGGAAGATCCAGGGTTGGTCAGGAGATGAGGGTGTGGGAGGTGATGGAGAATATGGAAAAGAGACTTTCTTCTATTCGTGCAGGAAGAAAAGATGAGACAGCATAAGTGGATTTAGGGTTAGTATGCTGTTATAATTTCAGTGAGCTTAAGGGGGCATGAGCCATCTCTGGTATTCTGGTACTAGGACATGCCATGATTAGATCAGACAAAGTCTGACTTGGGATGCTGGGAGCATAATAGGAAGGATATTGGTAGTATGGAAATTATATTAGTTAATTTGCACATGAACAACTTGGGAAGATGTCTGACTATCTCTAAGAATTAGCTCTCTCCAGAAGGTCATGACTGCGTGAAGTGGTCCATGCCTGGGTGAGGTGGTCCATGCCTATAAATCAAGTGATTTAGGGGACTGAAGCTGATGGATTGTAAGTTCAAGGTCAGCCTGAACAATTTAGTGAGATCCTGGCTCACAGTAAAATTTAAAAAACACATCTAGGGATCTTCTTAGGGTATAGTAGAACACCTGTAAAATGCTCTTGGTTAAATCCCCAGTACCTTCCTCTGCCCCTCAAATACACACACCCACCCACCCACACACACAGTCTAATAATTTATCCCCTTCATGGTCAGCAAAGCCCCATTGTCAAAGGAAGAGAGTCCCAACTGTAAAAGGCCTTGGTACCACAAGTACTTTCTATTTTCAGAAAAAAAAAAGAAAGAAAATGACTCTGTAGGTGCTTCTAGAGGCTTGCTCTCTGCTCCCTCAGGCAAGGAACTGTGTTTGTGATCATTTTTTTTTCTTCATGGACCTTATGCAGCCTTGTGGGTGACTGCAGAGTAGCAGGACTCCTTGTTTTAACAGAGTGTCTTCAAGTGAGGCATAAAGCTTGGCCAGCAGAGTAGAGAATTCTGTTGCCTGTCAACAGTCTCTCCTCTGTCCTTTGATCCTCAATTTGTCACCAGGTGATACCTGCCTGGGGCAAGCTCAGGATGTTTGGGATAAGGTCAGACTACTCAGGTACAGAGAAAAGGGCAGTGGCCTGGCTTTGAGTCTTACTGTAGCTTTTTTTCTCTCGGATGGCACCTTGGAAGGGGAAAGTGGAACACTGCACAGAAAATTCTGGAATGTGCAGGATCAGAAGTCAAAGGTTTTTCTTGTAGATGGCAAGATAATTCCCCAGGCCACCAGCTCCAGCATGGGGTTGCAGATTCTGATGGCCTGAATATTAATTTGTGTGTGTGTGTGTGTGTGTGTGAGCATGTGCATGCACGTGAATGCAGGTGAAGTCCTCAATGACTCACTATTCATTCTTGGAATAGAAGAGGTGGAAAGACTACTTCCTCAATGGGGTTTCTGCTAAGGAAGAATCTTGCCTGTTGTTCAAGTAGGGGAATCTGGCTCAATACTGACAACTGACCTGGGACTGGTAAGGTTTGGGAAGGATGGTAGAACTCTTTGACAGAGAGTTAGTAGCACCATAATCAGGTCCAAATTAATAATTCTCCTGCCTACAGGCTTTAGGTTTCATCTGATAATATGCTGTGTGTCTCATTCTGCTCCTTCTCTTGTTTCTTTCCTCCATTCCTCACTACTGGGAGACAATCATTGTGCTTAAAGCACTGGGGAGAAAATAATAAATTAGAAAAATACCAGTTTTTTTTTTTTCCCAGCATGTATGATCTACCTCAGGGTTCCTGAGCCTCAGCATGGTTAAACTTAGAGACCAAAGGGTTGTTTTTGGTAAGGGGCTTGCCCATCATGATGATGTTTAGTAATCATATTCCCTACCTTGAAAATAAAAAAAAATGCCTCTAAAAGGCCCAATGTCCAGTGGGTAAAACCACTGCCATGGCTGAGAACTACTGAGCAGTGAGGCACAAAGTTAAGTTCACACCTGCAGTGGAGTTTGCATGGATGTCTCTGTGCCTTCTTGGGGTCTATTTAATTTACAGTTATGATCTTACTAAGTTCCTTAGCTTCACCACATTATTGATATTTGTATGGTTTCTCCCCAGTATGAATTCTCTGGTGTTGAGTAAGGCATAATCTTTTATTAAAAGCTTTGTCACCTTCTTTACATTTGTATAGGTTTTCTCCAGTGTGAATTCTCTGGTGTTGAGTAAGGCATGATTTTTGATCTGAATTACTGGAACTTTCAGGGGTTTAGTGCACACCTGTTGTGAGAGAGTAACTGAACAGAGGCTACCAAATGAATCCCCCATCAACAGAGGCACCATCTTAATATTGTGGGATTATCATGGAGGTATTTCTGTGACAGTAAGTCAGTGGAGGCATCTGTGCTTTATAGCACTATGGTGATCACTAAATAACTATAGCTATTATAATTTTTTTAGAAAAAGCTTTTTAAATTATGCAATTGTTCAGACTTATGCACAGCAAAAACTGAGTCTGATGACCACAAATCCCGAGTCTCTTTGTCTTGTTTTTAACTTGGGATCAAACCAAAGTGCTCTCTACTACTGAGCCATGTCCCCAAGTCTTTTTATTTAGAGTTAGGATCTTTCTAAGTTGCTTAGATTCTTGTGAAATTGCTGAGGCTGGTTTTGAAACTGTGATCCTCCTTCCTCAGCCTCCCCTGCTGCTTGGATGAAAAGTGTGTACCACTGTTCCCAGCTTTAGACTGAGTCTTCCAGAATCCTGAGAGAACCTGAAGTACTGCAGTGGAAGAGATTTCCTCATACTTTATTAACTGTTAAAAACATCATTCCCTGGGAAGAAGCACCTTGAAGAGCCAAGGATGGGTCCAGGGAAAGATGTAACTTTCTGAGCTTTCACAGTGTGGCCTGGGACAGACCTGCTTTTTCCTGGGTGACACAACTGTATCCTTGTAAGCGTTACTGGCAGGATGGACTCATCAGTCCAAATGCTTTTCATTGACACCATTTTTTAATCATTCTTATTTTTTTTCAAATGTAACAAAGTTATTGATTTAAAAAAGTGTGCAGGGCTGTGGTTTTCTTTTAAGAGAAAAAAAGGGCAACTATGTTTCATCAGGTACTGACTCAGTGTTCACTAAAGCAGATGAAAAAAAAAAATATATATATATATACATGCAAGTAGAGCCACACATTGGTACAAAGACACACAGTGCTTCCCCTGGTCTGTCTAGTAAATTCTACAGTGTGTTTAGGGGTAGGAAAATGTAGTGTGCTTCTTTCTCATTTGTACAGACCCTCTGGAGGCTCAGGGGCTCAAAGTCATGGATGGAGGCTCAGGGCCCTCAGGGGTCATGGACAGTCCTCCTGCTGTCTATTCAGTGTGAGCATTCACACCCACTACATGTGTAGATTTAACCACAACATGTATTGCATTTTGCTGTTCAATATATTTGTTTCTCAGCCACCTGGTTTCAAACTTAAAAACTCTGCATTTGATGTAGAAAGCTAAGATGTATCATGCAGGACATTTAAAAAGCCAGAATCTGATGCTTGAAGTGTGGCAAAAACATCTTTTGAATGTTTTTTATGGACATAAAAATCCTGAGTAAAATTAAACTAACTACAGAGCAAAAGACATTGACTTTTGGATGCAGTGATGCATGCTGGTCATCCAAGCAGCACAGGAGGCTGAGGCAGGAGAATCACAAGTTCAAATCCAGCCTTATTAGTAAAAGTGAGGCCCTAAGCAACTCAATGAAATTGTGTCTATAAATAAATACAAAATAGGGCTGGGATGTGGCTTAGTGTTTGAGTGCCCCTGAATTCAATCCTCACTATACCCCCCAAAATAAAATAAAATAAATAAATAAGACATTGACAAAGGAACATGCTGTCCATCTGAGGTTATGGGGAAAACATTGATGTGATCATAGACTTCAGGCATAAGATAGTTTTATTAATGTGTTGGTTTGGTACAAAAGAGGCCTTTAAGTCCAGAGATAGCTTTGGAAAAAAAGATGATTGGAATTCAATCAATTCAAACAGAGAAACTGAGGAAAGGACAAGTGAACCTGGAGAGGTCCTCAGAAGGAAAGAGGGCCAAGGATCCAACCATGCTTCCTGCCCACTTCCATGGGCTCCTGAGTAACGGCCAGTTGGGCAAGGGTTGGAGTTTCATGGAGTCAGTGCTGTGGAGCTATCTCTGGGAAATTGTAATTTTTCTTTCTAGTATGAAGTTTCTGGTGACCAATGAGGTGTGATCTTACAACAAATGACTTTTACAGTATATAGATTTGTGAGAATTGCCTCAAGTATGAATGATCTGTTTCTTGTTAACACTTGAAGCATACTTAAAACTTTGCCATATTCTTAACATTTATATGGCTCTTATCCAGTATGAATATTTGATGAACAACAACACTTTTTCCTAATAGAATAGCTTTGCCACATTCTTTGCATTTGTATGGTTTCTCCCCAGTATGAATTATCTGGTGTTGAGAAATGTGTGATTTTTGATGAAGAGCTTTGCCATATTCTTTACACTTGTATGGCTTTCCCCCAGTATTAATTCTCTGGTGTCAAATAAGGTATGATCTTTGATTAAAAGCTTTGCCACATTCTTTGCATTTGTATGGCTTTTCTCCCATATAAAGTCTCTGGTGTTGACTAAGGAATGACCTTCAATTAGAAGCTTTGCCACATTATTGATATTTGTATGGTTTCTCCCCAGTATGAATTCTCTGGTGTTGAGTAAGGCATAATATTTTATTAAAATCTTTGCCACATTCTCTACATTTGCATGGCTTTTCTCCTGTATGAAATCTCTGGTGTTGAGTAAGTTGTGATTTTCAATTAAAAGCTTTGACACATTCTTTACATTTGTATGGCTTTTCTCCTGTATGAAGTCTCTGGTGTCGAGTAAGGTGTGATCTTTGATTAAAAGCTTTGCCACATTCTTTACATTTGTATGGCTTTTCTCCTGTATGAAATCTCTGGTGTTGAGTAAGTTGTGATTTTCGATTAAAAGCTTTGGCACATTCTTTACATTTGTATGGCTTTTCTCCAGTATGAATTCTTTGGTGTTGAGAAAGGCATGATTTTTGATTAAAAGCTTTGCCACATTCTTTACATTTGTATGGCTTTTCTCCAGTATGAATTCTCTGGTGTTGTGTAAGGTGTGATCTTTGATTAAAAGCTTTGGCACATTCTTTACATTTGTATGGCTTTTCTCCTGTATGAAGTCTCTGGTGTTGAGTAAGGCGTGATTTTTGATTAAAAGCTTTGCCACATTCTTTACATTTATATGGCTTTTCCCCAGTATGAATTATCTGGTGTTGAGTAAGGCATGATCTTTGTTTAAAAGCTTTGCCACATTCTTTACATTTGTATGGCTTTTCTCCAGTATGAATTCTCTGGTGTTGTGTAAGGTATGATCTTTGATTAAAAGCTTTGCCACATTCTCTACATTTGTATGGTTTTTCTCCTGTATGAAGTCTCTGGTGTTGAGTAAGGCGTGATTTTTTATTAAAAGCTTTGCCACATTCTTTACATTTGTATGGCTTTTCTCCAGTATGAATTCTCTGGTGTTGAGTAAGAAGTGAGTTTTGATTAAAAGCTTTGCCACATTCTTTACATTTGTATGGCTTTTCTCCAGTATGAATTCTCTGGTGTTGTGTAAGGTGTGATCTTTGATTAAAAGCTTTGCCACATTCTCTACATTTGTATGGCTTTTCTCCTGTATGAAGTCTCTGGTGTCGAGTAAGAAGTGAGTTTTGACTAAAAGCTTTGCCACATTCTTTACATTTGTATGGCTTTTCTCCAGTATGAATTTTCTGGTGTTCAGTAAGGTATGATTTTCTACTAAAAGCTTTGCCACATTCTTTACATTTCCAGATTTTCTCTCCAGTATGATTACTGTAGTGTTTAAAAAGGTTTGAGCAACACTTAAAGACATTTTCACATTTCTTCAATTTGTAAGGTATATCTCCATTGTAAAGCCTATGATTTTTAGTAATGGATGGAATTTGAGTAAAATTTTTTTCACATTCTTTACTTATGGAGGATTTATCACTGCTCTGATAAACAATTGAGGAATCTTTAAATGCTTTTACATATTTTTTACATTTGTAGGGCTTCTCATCCATACTAATTCTCTGGAGTTCAGGAATTCTTGTAGTTTTATTAAAAGTGCTTTCACATACCTTGTATCTGTAATTTGTCTCTTGATTATGAAAGCTTGGATAAATAAATTTGGGGCATGGATTAAAAACTTTTTCACATTTATCATTGTAAAGCTCTTTTAAATGATCACATGGGTGTTTTCTAGGATTTAAAAAAGAAGAAAATTTTAATGAATTTCACAGAATTTACATTATTTTACACCACATCTAATATACTGCTAATTACCTAGGGTAGAGATTGTCTACAGGTCCTAAAAGATTTATCATAAATATAGAGGTCTGTCTGAGTATCTACATATACCTTTAAATTAAGCAATAGTAGGTAAGTACAAATACTCCCACATTCATTATAATTCCATGCATTGCCACACGGAGAAACTGTTCATTGCATCATTTTTGTAAAGTAACAATCATCTCCTCCTCCTCCTCCTCCTCCTCCTCTTCTTCTATCTTGTCTACAGAAATATTTGTGGATATTTACAAAATGGTGCATTTCAAATTATTCCAGTGACCAACTAAAGCATGAAGTAGACTACATAGAAAATTTTTCATTTTTTAGAGGAAGGGTATAATTACAAAATGCTGTGCAAATATATTTAAAAGCACACACATGTCCTCAAATATGACTGCCATATGTGTTGTTGTCTCTCTCCAGCTTAGCCAATGTCCCATATCTCTACAGTTCCACCTTGCCTCCAACACACTATTGTCTGGTTTTAATTTGCGGGGAATACTGCAGGCACTGGGACATAATCATGGCCCTGATGTGCTAGAGCATTTTTCATTAAGCCAAAGAGCAAACTGCATCTGAGCTGGACTGCTCAGTTTTCCAGCAAAAATATCTATCACTGAGCGTGTTGTTAAAATTCTATGTAACTAGCTCACTAAAATCAGTTAGAGAATACTTTTGATTTGTTGAAAACATATTCCTTGAGATGCACAGATGAGTAATGCGAGGGCCTCAGAAAAATCTAATGGAAACAGGATTTAGTTCACTGGGGACATGTATAGGATCCAGGAAGTCTCTGGATCTCACACTTGGAAAGTTGTTCCCATTCCACCCACACCACAGAATGCATAGATCTTTTGGGATATTCACTTGGAGTGAATCCCTTCATAGCAACAAAATCCCTGTTGCTATGAAGATGAAGCAGTGCATGTCAGATGGAGCTGCTGAAAGATATCTATGAACTGTGCATGTAATTAAAAAAAAAAAAGCATGGAAGCCATTAGGGAAAAAAGTCTGGTATCTGGGAACTCACAGTTGAAATCCAGCTGATTTGAGATGATCCAGTACATGTTATATACTACCTAGTTTTGTCTAAATTCAGCATGGCACTGGAGATGGTATCATCCATTGGAGCCACATAGCCACATAACATCACAGAGATGGGTGAGACTTGCCAGAATGCCAATTAACCTGTCTGAAGAAAGACTCTTCCTGTTGAAATCTCATTCCTACCTTTGATGTATACTCCCTTAAATAAAAAATGGAAAAATTATCTAGTCATTGTTTTTTAGATCCTATGTGATCTAGAGAACATATAAGGTGCTTTACCTCTTTTAACATAAGTTATGGCCCTGTCTCACATTCCTTTACTATTTACTGTCTTGGTATCCATACCTGCTCTTTATCAAGTTTTGCAAAAAATATTTTATTTCTTGTTCTTCTGAAAATTCTTGGTTTTGATTAGAAGTCAGACCTGAAAAAAATTAAAATAGCAAGTTATTCCACTTACGACACTATGGTGAATATACTCTGCAAATATATAAAACCTTATCAAGGTGTGTGGGGGGAGTAGCCACAGAACAGTATGATTCAAGGCCATTATTATTCAAAAAATATATAGAATTTACTAGAATATTCTGAGAAACACTGTGAGAACTTTGAAAATCATCTTAAGAATTTGTAGCACCACAGATGAGGACAACATTCAAACTGACTGATATTATCACAATCACAGCCCTTTACTTCAACATATTTGAACTCCACCTGTGACTCAAATGTTGCAGAAAATAAATTTCTCATTTAGTTATTTTTTATCTTTGTGGGGACTATTTCTTAGGATTAAACACACTGGTATTCTATCACTAAACTACATCCATAGACCTTCCTATGTTTATACTTTTTTTTTTGAGAAAGTTTATTATAACAATGCTGAAATTTATTTCAAACTGGCATTCCACTGCTTTAGATTCCCAATTATATGGAATTACATTTATATATCATTGAACATGACCTAATTTTGTTTACTTTGTAACTTCCAAATATTTTCCAAAATGACTATAATGATCTAGTTTAACAGATTTTAAATAGAAAAATCCCAATGAAAATAAAAGCTCACACAATAAAGGGTATAATCAACTCAAGCACACAAATAATTGAGAGTTGGAAAATATATGTTGTTAATTATCTAAGCAATGCCCAATAACCACTTGAAAGATATTTATTAAACTAAATAAGAATGTAGAAAATTGAAAAAAATCAGAAAAAAAGCAACAGAAAAAGTAGAAATTATATACTAGAAATATTCTTTTAAAAATGTCTCAGGCTGGGGATACATTTTAGATGGTAGATTGCTTGCCTCACATGCAAAAGGCTAGGCTTGATCCCCAGAACCACCCCCCCACACAGTCTCATCAATTAAAAATTTGAGGAAGAAAATATATCAAAGGCTAGAATTAATTAAAAGACACAGGTAATAATGGTCACAGTGGTGCATGACTTTAATCCCAGCATCTCGGGAGGCTGAGACAGGAGGATCACGAGTTCAAAGACAGACTCAGCAATGTGAGGCACTAAGTACCTCAGTGAGACCCTGTCTCTAAATGAAATACACAATAGTGCTGGTGATGTGACTCAATGGTTGAGTGCTCCTGAGTTAAATTCCCAATAAATAAATAAATAAATTAAAGAAAAAAGTTAATAAATTTATAATCAAACTTTTAAAACTCTTCAAGAAAAATTGATATAACTAAGAAAAAGAGAAATTTTATTTACAAAGATATTCTTTTATGATTAATAGTTGATTTCTTTGCAGAAGACTTCCAGAAAGGAATTGGGATATATAGGTATGTATGTTGAAAGAAAAAGAAACTATGAACCTAGAATACTTTATCAACCAATACCATTTTCTTGAACTTTAAGAAAAATATATGCTTTCAAGATATGAAAATATTCAAAAATTGCTTTACTTCTTGACCTTCTGTAAGAGAAATAATCAGTGAAATATTTCCAATAAAATAAATCTGCACAACAGAAATCATATAAAATTTGAAAGCTTTTGTGGAAAAGAAAATTTACAAATATATATTTTATTTTACTTTCTTTGTACACAAAACATTTCATTCTACTATAGAATGTGGAAAACTAAAGCATAAAAATTATCATAAATCTTTGTTATTAGTATAAATCAGAAAAGCAGGTGTGACATCAATAACAAATCATGGCAACACATGTAAAGACACTGATTGTTTTAGAAAACCAGAATTATTTCAGATTAAAATGTAGTGCAAACTAAGTACTTTATTTTTTTCCATTATTTTTTCTTTAGTTATACATGACAGTAGAATGTATCTTCACATATCATACATTCATAAATTATAACAACCTATTCTTTTGGTGGTAAATTATGTGAAGTTACACTGGTTGTATATTCATTTAAGAATATAAGAATGTTATTTTTAATTTATTCTACTGTTTTCATGCACTTAAATAATTCCAAAATAATGACAAAATAAAAATCAAAGATAAAAAAGAAATAGATAAAAATAAAATATCACAATAAAAATGTATGAACTACAAATTAAGGCATATTTTAATAGTAGAAAAATTATAAGAAATCAATAAAATCTGAAAACTATAGAAGTAAGTTCTTCCTCATCAGTAATTTAAGTATCAATAAACTACTTTGAAAAAAAAAACTAATCAAAACACAATATGACAAATAAGATTAAACCTAAAAAACATGTTAACTATGTCAGATGTAAATCTTTTACAAAAGATTCTTTTTAGATATAAGGTCACAAAAAGACTAAAAACAAAAGGATAAAACAAATATTACATTCAAAATTGTTGATAATATTTATATAAATAAGAGACAAAGTAGAATATTATATAAAAATAAATATGGCAAATCCCTAGAATACAATCATAGTGAATACATTTGTAACTCCAATAATGTTTTTCATATACAGAAAGAAAACACAGACAAAATTCAACATCATAGAAAGCAACAAAGTAGTAATAGGAGACATCAATCCCCAATTAATGCAAAGAATAAAAAATAGCATTGCACTTTTACCCAAGGAATAAAAAAAACCTTCAAAAAACATTAAAAACCATTTTGGCTTACAGAGGCAATATTCTCTATAGTCTATGGAACATTATTCCAAAGAGAACAGGTTAAAAGCACAAAACAAATGTTAACAGATATTACAATATTGAAGTTGCATTGTAACATAATAAGTTGGAAATCAAAAGCAAAAGTGATATTTAAAATTTATAAGTATGAATTTAAAGCCAAATTCAGCAATTAAGCAAGGCCCTAAGTAACTTGTCTAGACATTGTCACAAAATGAAATATAAAAATAGCTGCCAGTCAGGTATGATAACACACTTGTAATTCAAGCAACTTGGGAGTCTGAGATAGCAGGATTGTGAGTTCAAATCCAGCCTCATCAAAAGCAAGGTGCTAAGCAACTGAAGGAGACCATGTTTCTAAGTTAAATAAAAAATGGGGCTTGGGATGTAGCTCAGGGGGAAGTGCACCTAAGATCAATCCCCAGTACCCTTCCCAAAAAAAGGGTGTAGATGTGGCTCAGTGGTTAAACACCTCTGCTACAGAAAAAAAAGCCTATAGCACTCAAAGTAATCTACGAAGTCCATGTAATACCAATCAAAAAAATCAATATTATTGTTGCATGTACAAAATAAGTTATTTGAACAATTCTATGGAATATCCTGGGTGCATACATAATTACACATATTAAAATTTAAAGAAAATGCTTCCTTATATAAAAATAATAAAAGTTAAAATATTCAATACAGTTATGTTAACTTGAGGTTAAATGAGGAAGCCATGAGTAATAAAACTGAAGGTACATCAATTATCCCTCAACTTGATGGTCAAATCAAAATATATTTACAGATCTATTCTCATTAAAACAACATTCAATAGAGACCAATGTGGCAAGCCAATCAAATTACATTTCATATGACTACATGAAGGCAATTTAGAATGAACTATGACAAGTTTTAAAACTTTACAAAGATAAGAAATTATATAATATCTACAATGATCAACTTTTAAGATAGTATATTAAGTGAAATAGTAATTCACACACACACACACAAAAAAAATACAAGGTAATTCTACATATAAGAGATATCTACTGTTGCCAAATATAGAGACCAAAAAGAATGGCATCAGGGATGAAAAAGTGAGACAAAGGAGCACTTGTTTGGAGGAAAAATGAACTTACTTTTTATGTGATACATACTTTCTAGAAAAAAATCTTACAAAACAATTTAAATGAACACTATTGACCAATAAATTCAAAATATATAAGACAGTAGGTTCAGGAAAGTTGTACAGTATACAGTTTTGATCACAATTAAAAATTTGACAAATACATAAAAGATAAACAGAATTGTAAACATCTTTATGGTACCTTAAAAATGCTAAAGTCTTACTCCTAGACAAAAGAACAGATTCATATATAGAGAGATAATGAATATGCCATTAATTCTAGCTACTTGGAAGAAAGGCTGAGGCATGTAAATAGAATTTCAGCTTTAGCTACTTAGCAAGAGTCTTTTGTAAACTAAAATTCAATATTATAAGAACCTCTGAGTTCAATACGCAGTGTGTGTGTGTGTGTGTGTATACTTAGATACATTATATGATTAAGCACAAGAACTGAGTATAAACAATCAAGGTACTATATAAAAATCATATATAAAAAGAGGTAATATTTATACATATAAGTAAAATCATAGAATACTTGTTTGAAAATTGGCACATGGTTCACGTGCAGTTTAATTTCAACTAATGTTTTCCTAAAGTGACAAATCATGATAATTTTTATTCAATTATAACATATAGATATACAAATAAAAACAATATCACTGATGTGAGAAAACCTAATGAACAACACTGAAGCTCTCTAAAGAGTGAAGCTCAAAAAAAAAAAAAACACACACACACACACACACAAGAATTAGAGAAATGTAATCCACAAAATTTTGGATAATTGTATTACAATAGAAATATTTCTTTTAACTTTTTTGAAGTGATAGGTGGACAGAATGCATTTATTGTATCTGTTTATTTTTATGTAGTGCTAAGGAACAAACACAATGCCTCACATGTGTGAGGCAAGCCCTCTGCCACTAAACTAAAGCTTCAGCCCTGAAAATTCTTCTTTAAACCACATTGATCAGCTATAGTTACATAACCACTAGGAGCAGGTATTGTGAAATACTGCTATTCATATATACTGCAGGAAAATTTCATAAATACTGCAGGAAAATTTCACAGAATATCCAGTATAAGCATTCATATAAAGCTCTGATGAGAAAATTTTGAATGAATAAATATTTAAATTATATAAAAAACTCTCCTATAATATTAATATATTACAATGGTTTTATCTAGAAATATTTGGAAATGAGCAAATTTTTTAGAGAGCCTCCAAATACCAATAAATGTCAGGTTATGAATATCCTCACAGGTATTGTGGAATACTTTGTAGGAATTTTGACTGTGGAAAAGAGAAGCATTCCTCTGGTGAGCAAACTCCCAGGGGTAACAGGCACTCTGCTTCCCACCCTTAGAATGCCCCCCAATTTCCCCAGGAACTAGTAAAATAATAAAACACACGTGCAATGTCAAGCTGCTATAGCAATTCCCTGCTTGAAAGGGCTCTGCACTAGAGGGTTATCAGCCTCAAATATGATCTCTGGCACATGCTCCTGGGAATAAAGGAACTCTCTTTATAGATAAGCACAATGTTTCACTGAGCCTAAACCTGTCCACACAACAGTAAGTTTATATAATGGACTTTCTTGAGAGCTACACAAAACTCCTAACATTGCATATTGCAACTGAGGAATCAGGTCCATAATGTTGCTAAGTTTCTAACCTGCCTAGTAATAAAATGAACAATATGTAGTAGTGATGCCAATGACCTAGATTAACCTACTGATATAAAAAAAGCTCGGCAGCTTGGCCTCCATGCCATTATGCCACCTTTCCTGCTTCTTGTCTCTGTCTTTTATTTTTAATTTTCCTTCAATGCTTTGTTAATTTTAATGTAGGGAGATCACTGGAGAACAAGAAGGAGCTTAAATAATTGATAAGCATGGTAAACATAGAACATGGAATCCTCTATAATTATTGCAACAGAAACAAACCTAGGCTTGAAAAAAATTAATTGTGTAAGATTTTAGTTTATTAATTAACATTTTAAAATGTGAATTCCTCTTTGACATTTGAACTGCTTATCTGTATTCTTTGCTTCATTAATTTCTACCCACTTTGATATATGTCTACTGTCTGTTTTCTTTTAAATCCCAAGGTTATTTCTTTAGGGACAGAAAGGTGACCAAGGACAACTTATAGACAACAAGATGTTTTTGATGGAAAATAGAATATGTCACATTTTGTTATTTTCTTGGTAACTACAGAAATCTTTTTAATGTTGTCCTCCATAGAAAAAAAAAGAGAAAACACTCTATAAGATTCTACACAATTATTTTCCAAATCATTTTTTTCAGACAAAAACACTAAAATACTTTGAAACCTTTTTTTCTCTACATTGTGAGCACTACTTAGAAATGATAAGTGAAACATAAAGAAAAATCTTTAACATTTTCTTTTCTACATAAACAAATGCCCAATCTTTGTCCTAAAAACAAGAAACTAAAACTTTTTCATGCAAAATAGAAGCTGGCATAAGATACTCTATACAGTTAAAAAATTAAATATTGGTTTTGAATTAGAAATTCTGAATGAAATTTAGGCTCACCAATAAAGAGTAGGTTTCTATAGATCTCTAACATCACATCTCCATATAAAGTCTGCTGAGAAGGGTCCAGGCATTTCCATTCCTCTTCAGAAAAATCAATGACCACATCCCTTAATGTCAATGGTTCCTGAAATAAAAATGAATAAATACATATCACATAAACCATATGATTAATGACATAGTATTTAATTTCATACCAATTTTAATGAGAGTTAAAAGAGGTGGCTTTCACTTTTGGTAGTGATGTCAACCATTCAGTAAGATACTTTTTTTGTGGTGCTGGGGATTGAACCCAGGGCCTTGTGCATGAAAGGCAAGCACTCTACCAACTGAGCTATAACCCCAGCCTCAATAATTCATTATAAGCAGTAAAATTGGTGGATAAATTTGGTATAATAAAACCCAGGGAGCAGCACATATGAAGCAAAACACTGAAGCAAAAAAAATGAAAAAAAAATCCAACATAATTCCAAAGGATATATAATAGTTGCAATTAGTTATTAAATATTCAAAAGAAGCACAACTAAACAAAGCAATGATACTTGAGACAGGCATAGCAAAATTATAAGTAATAACTATACTCATACGACAGTGGTCACCTCAGTGTGTAGAAGACATAAGAGATCACTAAAGACACACCACAACTTTCAACAGTCCACATATTTATTTGAATGGTTATCTCCAAAGTTGTCTATCTTCTCATTATTTAAACATACCATAAATCTTACTATATTTAAAAAATTACGTTTACTTCTGCAGACCACAACATCACAACTCACTTCTAAAACAATAAAATAAAATTTTTAACTATCAAACTATTACAAAACACTTAGGTACTTGGGTCAACTTGAATTACATGGCACAAAGTTATAATAAAAACAAATTTAAAAAGCAAATTAAGTAAATAGACTGTTAGTCTCTCAGTTCATAGGAAAACTGACACATCAGGTTTAACATTCCCAGATTTATAAAACCACTCTCACTGTGAAACTGTATCCTCACCTGGTTCATTTCAAAGTAGAAAGTGAGAGAATACTAAGCAGTTAAGAAAAAAATTCTGAAAGGTTCTGGGACCCTAAACACCTCCCTGACAGCATGGAAATACTCCCTTTTCCAGGGTGTCACTTATCACTAGTGAACCAACACATACATGAAGTTAGTTTAACATTCTGATCTGTGATGTCTTTCTTCTGAAACAACATTATTATTATTATTATTATTTTTTAAATTAGAGATGTAACCCAGGGGCTCTCTACCCCTGAAATGCATTTCAAGAAGTTTTGATTTTTTTTTTTTGTGATAAATGGGCTTACAAAGTTGTTTAGGGTCTCTAAATTACTGAGACTGGACTCAAATTTACTTTCTTCCTACCTCATTTTTTCCACATCACTGTGATTACAGGTTGTGCCACCACTCCTGACTCTGCAGCCACTTTTGATACCAAATGTGCAAACAACAACCAGTATTTCAACAATTAGTAGTTTAATAATTCAATTCTGATACCATCTAGTACAGATCCCACAAGTTTGGTGTTATGCCTATAAAATTTTACTACCTGAAGTGCCAGTTTAAAGCCCCAGAATAGAATAACATTTATACTTATGATTCATTTCCTATAAATTAGGGGTCTCTACATCTATACACTCAAGTTACTTATTCTGATAAAAAAGAACACACTTATGTATACCAGCTTCTTATAAATTATATAAATTTGGAAGTTGACAATTGAAACTTTGCATAAAATATAAAAAATGTCAGAGGAAAGTGGGACACTATATAGGCCATTTTAGGAAATAACTGGTTGAAGATATTACCTCCAATTTTTTTCTGTTCTGCTACAGAAAAGCCCCCTGCCCAATATGATTTAGAAGATCCTCATTATTTTAAATATGCTGGTTCAGATACTCATTCTGAATATTCCCATTGTTTTCCGTAAAAAAAAATTGAACACTTTTACATTCAGGGGCAAGAACAAAATATTTGTCAAAAAAAAAAAAAGTGAAGCTTAAGTCTCTCCTTTATGTGAAACCCTTAGAATATTGAGCCATCTCATGTCAGCCCAAAACAACATACACACAATTTTCTTAAAACTCCTAAGTATTCGTTGGCTTCAGGGTAAAGGATACTTCATTTGGAATTTTGATTTATTTTTTTGGTATGGGGGCATTCTACAACTAAGATATATTCTAGGCCTTTTAATTTTTTTTTTGAGACAGTGTCTCACTAAGTTGCTACACTAAGCTTCAACTTTGATCTTTCTTCCTCAACCTCCAGGTGGTTGTAATTACTGGCATGTCCTAATATGCCCAGAAAGAAATGAATTTCTAACCTCCTTTGGTCCATTTTTCTTTCACCTTATTTATTTGCTATTTCTTCTAAAAACAAACCCTTGACAGCCTAAGATTTTGGATGCATCCATATCTTATGTTTGATGAATTTGAAGTATTGCAATGTAGATTTAGAAAAACAAAAGCTGCTTATTACCTATCTCTGAATTTTTCTAATTTGACATTCTAGAAATAGCCCTACAGCAATGAAAATTATAGCCATAGATACAATTAAGATCTTACTTAACCTTCAATGATGTTCTTTCACAGGCTTAAAAAATTACCTTAGTTTGAATATAATTTTATTTGAAATTTGCCTCTATATTTTCTCTTTGGAAACTTTTAAAAAAATCTTTCAAATATTAGTGATAAATTACATTTTATAGGTAATAAAAATGTTAGAATAAGTGAGAGATGCTCAATCTACCATCCTATTTACTTAAATATTTAGTTACCACCCAAACATGAGGCACTACATTAAGTCTTCCAATTAGCATATGGTGAGTTTTTCCTTGAAGATGTCTGCACAAACACATTAGGATATTTTTGTTTTTTTTCTAAATCCTTGCTACAGTTTATTCTCCTTTCAAATTCTGGCACATTATAATCAACCTTCCCTAGATGAGTAAGAAAACAGAGAACAAAAATCATATTTGCCTTTCTTTTCAGTTACAAAAATCAATAGATTTGAGCAGCAATGTGTTTTTGGGGAGCTGAACCTAACATTTGGGGAAAATAATATTAATATTCTAATCTTTGATCTGTATACATGAAACCTATAAAGGATATTTCTGTAATCTCTATAGAGTATCTTGAGTATTCAGGTAGTCCAACAAGTGCTCCATTCCCTGACCACAAGCTGCTCTGTAGGAAGAGAGAATTACACACAAGTTGGTATTCTCTAGGTAATTTAACATGGGAGCTGTGGGCACTTTGGGTTAGCTTCATGCAATTTTTACACCATGGCCACTCAAAGACATGGCAGATACTTAAGAGACATCACACTCTTAAAGTTTCTTAAGGGGACCCTAAACTTGCTATCTATGCTTATGAAAGACAAATAAACAAAGGGTTCAAAGATGTTTTTAATTTTAATACTAAGGATTAAACTCAGCAGTGTCTACACACTGAGCAACCATCCCCTCCCCTTTTTATTTTTTATCCCCTTGCTTCAGCCTACTAAAATGCTGAGATTATGAACATGCATCTTCACACATAGCATTAGGTACAAATACTTTTTAAAAGGTTTTATGTTATAACACCATGTTCCTCTTATGTAAAAGTACAACCATACACATGTGCACACACACACTCACTCACTTTTTAAAATTCCATCCAAAACTAAGGAAAAGATGAATTAAAACTATGTGCTTTTTTGAAAGGAATGATAATAAAAATAATAGATTTATTTAAAAAAACAAACAAACAAACAAACAAAAAAAAACTATGTGCTATTTGAAATGTTCCAGGGAACCATACTTCATAATATAGTGAATTAGCTGAGAAAAGATGACATTCAGGAAAATCATGCTTACCACACATTTGGAAAATGCACTTAAAAAAGTGGGCGCAACCTAGTAGGGAAAGAGAAACTGAAAACTCCTTGGGCCACAGCTCCTCCCAAATATGAATTATTTACATGAGTCAAAATTCTCATGTCCTGATCCTGTCTATAACATCCACTCTGAAAGGGTGGAGGCAAGAAAATAGAGTTACTTTCAGGCCAGGCAGAGGTCACCAATCTGGAACAGGACAAAAAGTAGAATCCTGACTGTCAAGCCCATTCTTAGGACCAGAGGTGGCAGTATATTGAGCTTTATCAAATTTAGAGTAGGGTTAAAAGATTACAAAGGTGACCTCAGGAAAGCCTAGGTTCTCACAATTAGTTCTGACTACTTTTACTCAGCCCCTTTCTTCTGTTTCATAATGCCTGCAGACATATCATTTTTAAAAATACTCTAGGGCCTGGGGTGGTGGCTCATTGGTAGACTGCTTGCCTAGCATGCATGAGGCACTGGGTTCGATCCTCAGCACCACATAAAAACAAACTAATGTATCCACCTACAACCAAAGATACATAAATAAATAAATATTTTTTAAAAATAAAAATACTCTAGACCCTGAGATTTAGAGGGAAAGGGCCTGTGACAGAGCCACCCAGGCATCACAAAACCTGGAGATGGATCAAGAGATATATCTGAGACAGAGATGAATTATCTCCCAGATTTTGAAGCTTACCCTCTATTCTTTGGTTGTTGCTCTAATTCAATAATTATCACCCCAATCACTTCTGATTGAATAATTTTTACCTAAATAGAAAAAATACCAACATCAGACCCCTCTGCCTCTGAGTTTCAGGTGAAACAATTTCATCTAAGGCTGTAGGACCCCAAAATAACAAAATACTAATTATATCCCTTCTCAGACAGAGCCTTTTATGTGCAAGAAGACCTGGCTGTACAATGGGACATTAGTATTTAATGTTGAATATAATGTCATATCAATTATTGACAATAATGCCAATGACAGATTCACAAATGCAAATAATATAGTGAGAATTACTTTACACTTTTGAGTTTCATAACCTTCATACTCTGGCTTAATGAGGCTTGTTTGTTTGTTTGTTTGGTTGGTTCCAGGGACAGACCCAATAATGCATCACTGAGGATCATCTCCAGTTGTTTTTTTTTTTTTTAAAGAGAGAGTGAGAGAGAGAGAGAATTTTTTTTAATACTTATTTTTTAGTTTTCAGCGACACAACATCTTTGTTTGTATGTGGTGCTGAGGATCGAACCCAGGC